TTTTTTTTTTTGCTTTTTTGCTTTTAACAAGCATCTCATTAGTGCTGTCTAATTTGTTTTAACATAATATTTGATTTTGGGACGGTAGCCTTGGAAGATACATTCATAAATACCATGAAAAGAAGCGATTTTAGTGAAGCTTAAAACACACCAGCCTTTAAAACAACTTTTGCTGGCCTGGTGATCAGCAACACAAGATTATGTGCTATAGACAGCTTGAACTAGAATAATGAAATACCACCTTTGTTTTTACTTTAGTTTTCTGTGGCTGCTGTAGTTAGTATGTTCTTGGGGTAAAGAAAAGGGGCAGAAATTTCCATCAGTGCCCAAACTGTTACAGGATGCTTTTGTTGCTTGAGTGTGTGAACTCTTCTGCTGTTTGTTGTCTTTTGCTGTGAAATGAATAAGTTACACAGGGCATCATGCATAACATCTCGTTCTTTTCTACAGACCTTGCTTGCATGTACAAGTTGTTTAGTCGTGTGCCAAACGGTCTGAAGACAATGTGCGAGTGCATGAGCTCGTACCTGAGAGAGCAAGGCAAAGCACTAGTTTCTGAAGAGGGAGAAGGAAAGAATCCAGTTGACTACATTCAGGTAGTTGAATATTTAAAAATTGCCTTTCCTCCTTCTTTCCCGTATTTTCCAGAGTAACACGTTTTATATGAGAAACCTCTTAGCGCTGACTCAGAAAGGTTAATTATTTATTAATAAACTTCATTTATGCTTCTATTTAAAATGCGCACATTTTTTTATTTTGGAAGTGTTTAGAACTCCTAAGTTGCTTGGTAAGTACAAGCTCCTAATTAGTGGGTTTTTGGTATCTACTTTTATTAAAATATTCAAAACAGTTATATAAAACCTTGGAACTTTTTGGTTTATTGTACATTATATTTGCCTCCAGATTGAATTTTATCCTAAGAAGCTCCTTAGCATCTATTTAATGTAATTGTGTGCAACGCTGGCTATTGATGTTCAAGGTGGAATTTCATAGCAAGATTCTAATGGTTTACAGCATTCACCTCTCACTCACATTTTAATTGCTAGCTTAATTCTTGGTCTCCCTGAGAGACACAGCATTTCTGCATATTAGTAGGTGTTTTGTTGTTCTCCATCTCACTAAGATTTTGTGTAGCATTAATTTACCAAGACCCTAAAATGTGCTTCAGGAGTGTTGTCGTATTTTCTTGCCTCCCATTGTCTCTGAGAACATAGCTCTAATTTCTTTCAGAGTTAATTGAAATTCAAGTAAATGTTTTATAGCTGAAAATGTTTTACAGTTGATATCAAAATGTGTATTTGTTAAATATGTTAATTTTTTACAAATGTGTAGCTGCAGTTTTTTTGTCTGGTCCTTTAAAGAAGCATTTCATGTTGTGTATCTTATTATCTCTACTTTGTTTGAAAACAATCAATTTACTGGAATTGGTTACTATTACAAGAAGCCATTTGAGTATAGAAACGTTTTTGTTTGAATTGTCTGGCAGTGCTGAAGCAAAATTTCTTACCTAATTTGGACAAGAATGATTCTCCAATGATTTAAAAAGAGAATACTCTTTGAACTTTCGTAGGTATAAAGGTTCTGGGCTGTTGTGGTTTTGTGGTGGTGTGATTTATTTAAAAATAAAAACAAAAAAGTGACAAGTAATATATAAAATAAGTGTCCGAAGTAATTTTCACTTTAGAATTCTGTTTGACCCAAAAGGGAGTATCTTAAGAGGCTGACCTGGGGAAAAGTTAAATATTTAATTATAATGGTGCTATCAATGTATCTTGCCACAAAGTTGAATACACCTGGTGAAGCTGAAGAAGACTTACAGCCATGTTGCACTTGCTTTGGCAGAGCTCATCCAGAGTCCAATTAGTATTTACCCCCAACCATCTCATGAAGATGTCCTAAGGAGGAGTCAGTATTTGATTGCTGCTAAACCTCTAAAAATATTTGTCCTTCCATTAACGTGATGGAAGAAAGAAAAATGAATAAAGAATCCACCTTACTGATTTCAGTCATGCTAATCTGAAACTTTCAAGAACTTAAATACTGGTAAGAAGATAGACAGGGAAGATATATTTTACTATCAAGAAAAAAAGCCTTCATAGTTCAGCACTGCTTCTGCAACGTAACATTGCCAAACCCTCAGCATCATCAGTGACATGATTGCAAAAACATTGCCAGGGATTAAATTTAAAACTCCTTAAAATAATGGAAGGGATGTTGAGATGCTGTTGTGATTCAAGGTACTATCAGTTTCTCCTGTTCAACACCAGGCTGTTCAGATGGTGTACTCCTGGAGAGGAGACATAAGCTAACCTTGGTTAACAGAGAGAGAAAGTGGGATTTGCTTTGAATTTAAAATTTCTAATACACGTTAATTAGACTGTCTAAAGATCATTCCTTTAAGTGAGATGGTGAGTTCCTAAGAAACACTACTACTTCCTTGAGTAATTCTTGAATGGCTTCTTTAAGTAACCACAAATGAATAAATTCTTCAGCGATGTAGGACTTCAGGATCATTTAGCCTGAATGGATTGTATGGACAGTAGTTATCAACTTTATGCACAAAATTCTTTTTCCCCACCACCCTGAATATGTTGCTTATGTATAAATCCCACATGTATCATATATGTTTAGCAAGGTGTTCATGTGATTTTTATGATGCTTCCCCCTTCTACATTCAGTTGTTTTAGCTTTAAGTACAGATAGTGCAACCCCTAAAAATGATGGTAAAAATCTGACAGTTCAGCTAAAAGAAATGGTTCGTTTCACGTCTGTGGACTTCATGCTGTGATTGTGAACTTCAAACTGTGGTAACTGGAGGGCAGTTACTTGTATCTGGCTTTCATACATTCACAGAGATTGGTACAGATTAATGGGAAACACGCAGCTAAATAGTGCAGAACATTCCTGGCTTGAATCTGCAGGGGGAAAAAAAATTAATAAGATCTGTCCTCTTGTTGCAGTATGTTTTCTCCTTAAACTTGCTTAGTGGCTCTGTGGATGCAGTTAATGGGTGCTTAGCCTGATCTCTCTGATGTCCTGTACTTAGGAAGGGAAGTGATTTTGACAACTTCATTCATTTTACGTAGATAAGGCTTAATTCCAAAAATACCTTCTTTAAGTTGTCGATTTAAAATAAAGTAAATCAGCCTGTTCAACAAGAGTGATTAAAATACTTAATCTGTCAGTAGCCTATTACAGCAAGAGATTTAGGGCAACTGTAGACGTTTACAAACAGAAATGAAATTTCCCATGCTTCCTAACAGTGCAGAACGTAGAGGGCATTGCAGAACCTCTACTTGTAGATCTGATCTAGCCTACATCTATTACTGCTGTTTTTGCAACTTAAAATTTTAAATCAGTAAAACTGTTTATACTTTTTTTTTTTGAAGGGTTTACTGGATTTGAAGAGTAGGTTTGACCGCTTTCTTCAAGAGTCTTTCAATAACGACCGACTCTTCAAACAGACTATTGCGGGTGACTTTGAATATTTCCTCAACCTCAACTCTAGGTCTCCAGAGTACCTCTCATTATTTATTGATGATAAGCTGAAAAAAGGAGTCAAGGGAGTAAGTATAAATTAAATTAAAAGATCCTACTGTTTTCTGTGCAATCTTGGATCAAATTAAACTAAGGTAATTTTCTGAGAATGATTTTTGTATTAAGGTAAATGGCACTGCTGCCTTTTTCAAACAAAGAAAAAGTCCATAAGGCACATCTGAGCCCATAACACTTTAGGGCTAAACTTACATAAGGCACACAAGGATATCTCAGGATGTGTAGCTTGACCTCCATCTCACTCCCTTAGATTGTATTAAATTCTGCGACTTTCTGGGAAACCTGTTCAGTTCCTTAAGTATGTTTATAGTTCAGTAGTTGTTCCCAATGCCTAATGATTCTCTTGCAAAGTAACTCACTTGGTTAGCCAGTCAAATAATCAATACTATTTATTTATAAAAATAAGTGATCATTTTATTTGTTGTGGCACTAGACAGGCTTTGCAAAGTCAATCTCAAAATGTGAAAATCTTCATTCTGAGCTGACTTTCCATATTATTAATTGCTGATGCTGGTTTATAGTTGTGCTTCTTTTCTAATTCTTTTTTAATGCTTCAAAATGTATGGTCATCAGGACAGTTTCACTGTTTTATCAGGAGTTTTAACCATTCATTGCTCCCTCATCATTGCTTCTTCCTACATTTTTGATTGTTATTTTCTCCCTTTTACTGGGTTTGGGCACTGTTCTTTTGGCTCGGTTGTTCATACGTTAGACCAATTTTGTTATGTTCCTTCTAGGCTATTCTTACACCATATACTTGGTGTGAATTGCTTAAAGTATGTAGGCTGTATATGACATCCGTCCTGGAAGACTAAAACCAGTATATTATTTCTTCTACAGCTAACAGAGCAAGAAGTAGAAACTATCTTGGATAAAGCAATGGTTTTATTTAGGTTTATGCAAGAGAAAGATGTTTTTGAGCGGTATTATAAGCAGCACTTGGCAAGAAGACTTCTTACAAACAAGAGTGTTTCGGATGACTCTGAGAAAAACATGATATCTAAATTAAAGGTAAGGCAATATTTGTATACTTTTTGCTTCATTTATTTCATAAATTTCATAAGTATGATTTCTTTGGCCTTACATAAGGGTTATATATATAAGCTGTACCTTGCAGTTAAATACAGATTTGATTTTTGAAGCCCTAACAGAAAATATGAAGTGTTATTCTGAAACATTATGTAGAAATAAAAAGAAGGAAATGCTGGAAAACATCTGGAAGTGGTGTAAATTCACAGTGGGTATTTGATGGCATTCATTTTTGTTAAATTGTACTATATCCTTCTTCAGATCAGCAGTAGCGTTCAATTCCTTTTTGATGTAGTTCAGATTGATTGAAAAAAGGTCTTCATACCTGTGTTTGGAAACGTTTTGCTTACTTCTCTTGGTTTAGTTTATTCTGGTTGCAAGAGTGACCAAGAGACTGAGAAGGTAAAACCTAAAGATAAGCAATCCTTGAAGCAGCTTCTAATGCAGCTTCTGCCCCTGTGGTATGTGAAGTGTCCAGGGGATTTTTGAACCTGTCTGATTTGGTTGTAAAAATCAAACTTCCCTGATTCTCAGTTTTTGACCTTTGTATTCTCACCCATGAACGAATGAAATCTGTTTGAATCGGATTTCTCCAGATTATCAAAATTAATTAATTCCCAGTTACCTTTCCACTTCTTCCCACCTGGTGCAGATGAGAATACACAGGGCATACTTCTTTAGCAAGATGAGTCAATGGATTGAGACTGCTGTCTTTTCTCATGGATTTGCCCAGAGATGGTAATAGTGTAGATAACATGCTGGCCTTTACCATATATGTGAAGCTGTGCTTTAGAAGTGTACAGAAAGTCCTGGCTGTCCAGTGGAAACGCATATATTTGCGTGTATGTCTATAGATATGTATGTCACAGATTGAAGAAAGATCTGTGATCTTCCTTTGTACTCTGCAGTAGCCCTCGAAAGTGATGTATACTTAAGATAAAAATCTTTGGGCATCAAAAACTAGTATTTTCTCATCATGTTACAAAACAGGTTAGTTCATAGGCATTGGTCTATTAAGCTTTCACCAATGTTTTAGGTGAGATAAACATGCAGAAATTATGTAAAAAAAAGAAAAAAAAACTGGAATGGGTGAAAAGGGAGGGAAGGTTTCATTTTTGCAGGCTTAAATATGAAAAATGGAAGTTATTTTGGGGTGTTTTTTATAAAGTTCTGGAAGTAATGGAAGAGTCCAAGTAACCACATGTATGGAAATAGCATTTTTATGAGACATAAACTCTAGCTGTTGGGTTCATGTATCAGATCTCTTCCATAGCCCTGGCACAGTGAGTGATGTTGTGTGTTTCAGACTGAATGTGGATGTCAGTTCACATCTAAACTGGAAGGAATGTTCAGGGACATGAGCATCTCAAACACGACGATGGATGAGTTCAGGCAACATCTGCAGTCGACTGGGGTAAGAGCACAGCTCCTGTGTGCTGCTTCTTTCTGTGCAAAGCACAGACCTTCATCCAGGCGCGTGCATTTTTTTGTTAGCGTTCTCATGTGAGAAGAAGGATTTGGTTAGCATCCTCAAATTAAATTTCTTATAGTGGTTCTCATCTCGTAAACTCTGTTAGTGTTTCCCGAAATAGAAAAGCCATTTCAAAGGCTGATGTGCAGCCCAAACAGAACCGATTTCGCTGCGTAGAATCCCGTTCCGGCTCCATTGCGCCTCCGTTGCTGCGCGGTCCCTCCTCCGCCGGCCTCCTTCCTCGTGGCCGCCAGGGGGCGCGGTGCGGCCGCCTTCCCGGCTGCTCGCTGGGGGCGTGCGGGCTCGTTTGTGCCTGACAGCAGCGGGGCGGTTTCAGCAGAGGTGGTGGAGGCACACGTGGACAGATACAGGTGTTTGTGGGCGGGCATCTTTACTGCAGCTTTGTTCTTTAGAATCGAATGGTGTTTTCCTTCTAGAATGGTTAAAACACGAACATCAAGAAAAAATTTTTAGAGCACTCCCACTTTTTTGTGAGACTTCTACATAGGATTCTTTGATGTTAAAGACAACCTGACAGTTTTACTTTGAGTTAATGTATGATATCTGTATTTCCATCTTAACTATGTACAGCCAGTAAGGTAAAGTTCAACTGTTAACATCTATTCTGTTAGGTCTCATTTGAGACTGTCTTATTCTTGGCAAGGGACCAGCAGTTTGCCCAAGGGCTGCCTTTTGTTCAGCCTCATTGTCTTTTAATGACACTTTTGGAGTATTTGTTTATGATGAAAGCAGAGATGTTTCTGTTGGTGTTCATAATATTTGAGATAAAATAAATCTATTGCTTTCTTTGTTTTTAAGTATTGCTGTTAATATCCAGGTGTTTTTGCATTCTGTAGGAAATAGTCAATCCTACTCCTTTTTAAACAATTTATATAGCTCAGATATGTGTAGTGCCTCCTAGAGGAATCAGAAATCTACTCGACTCTAAATAATCTGACCTGCAAAGTCTCCTGCTGGATCCTGTGTCCCAACATATGGGTAGTGCCAAGGTCTATTTAAGTAATGATTGGTTTCATATCATTAAGGGGAAAGCTAAGCACAAGGGAAAGCCCAGGATAACATTACTCATAATTCTACAGGTGCAATTCCGAAACCTTTAATTGTTAAGAGTGTTTTTTTTTTTAAGACTAGGTCACTTTAAGGCATTTTCCATTTGTTCGTATCATTTTTGCAACGAAGAGATGGAAAAGTGAAAGGCTTACAGAACTTTTCTGGGTCTGCTGTGTATAATGTCTGATATGCAGCATTCTCAATTTATACTGTGTTGTAATCTGACTGAGACCAAAAACCTCAGGGAAAGGTTGCCACTTGAACTAGAAGGATTTCAGTTCCTGATAAAGACACTTCCTTTATCTTCCTGTCTCTGTTGATCACCTTTCCCTATACTCTGTCTAAAGCGAAAATTGTTTGAAGCTTCTCTGTAGATGATTTATAGATTAGTTTTCTGCATCTAAATGGCAATTTTAATTATCTTGTGAGCCTTATAGCATTGATAATACAGAATTGGAAGCAAGGCACTAATGCTGACTACAGAACAAGCTCCATACTGGTTTTTGCATGCTTTTCCAAACTGTTGTGCTTTAGCCTTAACTAAATTCATTTTGAGAGGATATTTCTCTCTGAGTAGCTTGGCATTAATCTAGATTTTTCAGAAGTTTCCAAGGCATAAGTTTGGTAATGCACAGAAGTGTTTGACACATACGCAGTACAAAATTTACTGTATACAAGCGAGTGCTGCTCTGTTATTTAGTACTGGAAGTTTCTGAAATGATGGGATATTTCTTGACAGTCTAAAATATAGCATGCTCTATTTGTATTTAACAATTTATAACCATTTGGGTATGTTATACTTTGTTTTTCTTGTCCCTCATTTGTGTTCTTTGAAGGTACTATCTAACACCAGAGCTGAAAATGCTCGCCTTTAAGTTTAATAAAGTGAGTTGAGATACCAGTAAGGATAATGCCACATGATAGGCTAGAAGTTTATCTCCTACTAATGGAAACTAATCCACTTTGTGGATCCGTGTTTCACCTGTACAATGTTTTGTAAGCAGTGCTGAGTATTTATTGGTAATGGCTGTCTTCAGAGAAAGTACATACGTTCTGTGTGTGAAAGTAACTGTTCACATAACAGCATGGAGGCAAATAGTAGGAGGAGCTTGCTGTTACTTAACGTCAGATAATTTGGTATTTTTATTTGCTTCCAGAGGCTACTTAGAAATTTGTGTCTTTAGCAACCTGGCTTTACTGTACATAGTCAAAAGGGGAAAGACTATTTAGAAAGAACTGTTCTATATATTGTGAATTCCATTTGTGATCACAGGTATTTCACTCTTAGTTAGTCGTTAATAGAAGTCTGTAAATGCCCCAGGGGAATGACATGGAGGTTTCTGGCATATCTCCTAACATTCTGGTGGGTTCATTTGTTCGGTGTTGGTAAAACAATGTTTATAGATTTATATTCCATCTTTTCCATAATTGTGCAAGTTCTGTACTTTCTACGTGATAGAAAAAAACAGTGAAGCATGATCTTTTAAAACAATGAATGTTTTCTTCCAATTATAGGTCTCATTAGGTGGCGTTGATCTTACAGTGCGGGTTCTCACAACAGGTTACTGGCCAACCCAGTCAGCCACACCAAAGTGCAACATCCCTCCAGCTCCCCGACATGCTTTTGAAATATTTAGAAGGTATGTGTTAAAACAGGCTTTGAGGTAGAGGTTTTAAGAGCAAACTTTTTCTTAACTTAACTTACAGGTACGTTTTACCATTAAAACAAAAGACGTGCCATCTTACCACTCTTTTTCAGTTGATGCAGAAATTGAGAATACAAGAATTTGTATTTTTAGACTTGAGGCTTTGGGAGTTCTTAATGTGAATTCTAATGCAGTGCTTTGAAAAAGGAGGAGTTAGAAATTTCCTTAATTGCAATGGAAAGTGCACATAATTACTAAGCTTCTACTAAGTAGTTTCCACTTCATACATAATTTACGTGTTGTATTTAAGTTTTCAATTCATTTATATTGCAGATTTTATTTAGCCAAACACAGTGGACGACAGCTGACACTCCAGCATCACATGGGTTCTGCAGATCTCAATGCCACTTTTTATGGGCCAGTTAAAAAGGTGAAGTATGAAGGTTATGAGAGTGTTGCATTTTAGCATTTAGAATAAAACCTAAGCAAGTGCACAGTTGTATTAATTCCATGATTTTATAAAATAAGCTTGCCTGTTGATAATATTAGCAAAAAGTGCCTTTCATCCCTTCTATATTCTTCCTTTGTAAATGTTTGAAAACGTTTTCTTCTTCTAAATCTGATTTTCATGTGTTGCAAATCATCCCTTTTAGTTCCTTGCAGAAAAGTAATTTGGATCTTGAAGGAAATTTAGTGTTCTGCAGGTTTTTTGGCTGGAATAATCAAAAGCAAAATGAAATTTATCTTTAGACTAATTTTTGTTAGTGTGAAAACGTACTTTTAAGCAAAGTCTACTCTGCTTTTCATATTTAGAGTGCTAGCAATGTAGACGTTTTTCCAAATGTGTATAATACTTCATATTTATGTATACAAGAAAAATCTGGAAGCTACTCAGGTGGCGGAGCAGGTGCCCATAGAGGCTCTGGGGTTTGTTCTTGGGAAATGCTCAGTATTTGACTGGATGGAGTCTCGAGTGTCCTGTTCTGTATGGCCTGGCTGTGAGCAGTGGCTGGACCATGCAACTTAGCAAGGTGCCTCCATCCTAAAGAAATCTGCTGTGATTGTAAGGTCACCTACTAGAGAGAGATTCTGGTTATGCCACCAGACATATGCCATTCGATGACATCTATGGACTGAGCTCCAAGATAACTTTCATCACGTAACTTCCATCTTACTGAGGAAATATTCTGGAGCGAAGAATGAACTGATGGTAGTTCTGTTATTTTTAAAATAGGAAGATGGCTCCGAGGTTGGCGTTGGAGGTGCCCAAGTAACTGGCTCAAATACACGGAAGCACATATTGCAGGTGTCCACTTTCCAGATGACAATATTAATGCTCTTTAACAACAGAGAAAAATACACCTTTGAGGTATGAATTGTTTTTTTTTTTTCTTACCTGTCTTTCAGATAACCTATTTTAGGCTTTCTAGTTCTATTAACTAGGTATTTGAGGAGCACAAACACCACACTTCTCATTCCACTGGAGTATGGGTCAGACTGATAAATGCAGGAACAGATCAGCACCACTGCCTTATTGCTATATTCACTGCTAAATATTTATTAAACAGTTCCAGAAGTGGATGTCATTTGGGAATGGAAGTTTTCAGGGCAGTTGAAGAGGGTTGTTGAGTATGGTTATTCCTTGGCTGTAGGAGACAAGCTGAAGCTGGAATGCAGCAGGTGGCTCTGCTTGCTCAGTTTCCTTGAGTAACTGAATCTATAGGCCCAGGGATTTTTGTCATTGCTTTTTAAGCAGTTAAATTGTTTAAACTGGCAGTCTGGAGTGAGCTGTAGTTTATCCCTTCTCTCATGGTGAACCAGAAAGGACGATGAAGAAGTTCCAAAGAGATTCCTAATATAGAGATTGGAGGGGCATTACTAGGGAATGTTGAAGCTCATAAAAGGTGGTGGAGAATGCTTTGGGAGTGCATTCTTCTAGCCTGCTATTATGAGGATGTCTATTTGAAATAGTTGGGATTGAGAAAGGCAGAGTTTGCTTAGAATCTCTTAAATAATATGTACAGTTTGCAAAAGAGTGTTTGGGAGCTCAGAAAGTCCTGTGTTTTGTGCAGTGCACTGCAGGAGCATTACAGCTTTGAGTACTTCTTCAGAGAGAACTTAAAAAGAAAGGAGAATTTAACAGCTAGGTTAACAGCTTGGTTTTCCTAATTGAAATTGGACTAATAGCTACATTATTTTATAAATGTATTATTTTGAGGTTTTTTATGAATAGAGCCTCATTTATATATGAATAAATAATACTTGGCACTGACAAATACGACTGTGACGCATGCACTAAATCATAGTTAATTTTACTAAGGCTAGATAATAGAGAACTGTCTGCAAGTGTTTAGATTGTATGTGTTTGTTTTCTCATGTTCAGGAGTTTTTAAGCTGTTCTTATGTCAGCCTTTAACTAAAACATTAAGAAGGCATACTACGTTTGTTTGGCTTCTTTGGTGAAGTACGTGGGAGTTGTCTTTGAGCAGAAAAGCTTATGAAAATCAAAGGGTAGATTGAATTTTGTCTGTCTTCACTGACTATTGAATGCCACGATTAATTACCAAGCGCTGCCATATGCTGCTGTTCTCTCCTATGAAGTTACTGCTTTTACCGCAGCATAGCATGAGAGATGGCCTGCAATGTGCTTGAGTAAGCATAAAAGCAAAGTGTTTCTGCAGCTTCACAGCTGGACAGATTAATTTTAAGTTGCTTTTGTGGTTGGAAAACCTTTGCTATTTACCGTTTTCTTTGTATTCAGTGAGATTATTAACTGGAAACTTGCTAAGATTGTGAACAGCTGTTGAACTATGTGACTGAGAGAAAAAGATTACGATGATGCAAGAATAATGTACATGGTTCTTCAGAAATGTAAAGAATCATGACATAGCAAGATGCCTTCTCCAAAATTTACGTAGTTAATGTATCTCTGTATGTCAAGGATTTGTTTACATCAACAAAGGAACAAGTGGCCACGTAGGTCTAGCTTAATGTTACTTGCTTCTAAGAGGAAGGATGTTTGTGCAAACCTTCAGAGCTTGTTCCATTTTCATTCAATTCAGTTTCTTGTAATGGAATTTCATGTAATGCTCAGCTTTTTGTTTCTGTTTTTGCTGAAGTTTACAAAGCAGCTCGGTGTTTTGAAGGGTGAAATCTTTAATGATAATGCTGAAAACAAAGGGAAAATACTTAGTTCTTATTATATCTCTAGGTTTCACAAACAAGAAATAGAGGTGTTGCTGGTAGAAGTAAAACTAGGGATTATTTTAACAAAGAAGTGACTCTGGATCTTAAAAACTGGCGTGCCTTTGTTCTCTTTTGCTCGTTTCTGCTTTTGAAGAATTGCAGGTTCAAGTTTGTATGAATAAAAATCCTTTTAGTCTTTTTGTCATTTCAACAACATGACTTTTTTCCTTCTAATTTCCCTGTGTTTTTTTCCCAATAATAACCAGTTATCATGTGTAGAATTGGACAAAGGCCATGCTTAGAATATATCCTTTGTAGGTTTCGGATGGAGCTCAGTTAGTAATGTTTTTAGAACTGAAATTATGTAATAGGTACTGCTTTTGTGCACAGCTCTGTTATCTCCTTCAAAATAATGCATTTTTGGAAACGAGGGGAAAAGCGCTGTAGAGCCACTAAGATGATCAGAGGGCTGGAGCACCTCTCCTATGAAGAAAGGCTGAGGGAACTGGGCTTGTTTAGCTTGGAGAAGAGAAGGCTCTGGGGAGACCTCATTGCAGCCCTCCAGTACGTGAAGGGAGCGTATAAACAAAAGGGGGAACAGCCGTTTACCAGGGTGGGTAGCACATGGGGGGTTGGTTTTAAATTAAGACAGGGGAGATTAAGGTTGGATATTAGGAGGAAGTTTTTCACACAGAGGGTGGTGATGCACTGGAACAGGTTGCCCAAGGAGGCTGTGGATGCCCCAGCCCTGCAGGCATTCAAGGCCAGGCTGGATGTGGCTCTGGGCAGCCTGGTCTGCTGGTTGGTGACCCTGCATGTAGCAGGGGGGTTGGAACTTGATGATCATTGTGGTCCTTTTCAACCCAGGCCATTCTATGATTCTCCTCTGTTTACATCAATTGTATAAGCGCATTGTGTAAGTAAGAAAAATAGTACGTCACAGACTGAGGGGAAAGGAGAGCAGAGGACCATCTGTTATTCCCATTTGTATTCAGAGCTACATTTTTTTTTGTCCAACTTGAACTTTTTGCCTTCTTCTGAGGGAGCATATTGCAGTACAGTTCTTCCTGTGCTTCTGATTTCTAAGCTTGCTTATGATTTCTGAAATGTTTTGCATGTGTTAATGGCTCCGTTGGAAAGATACAGCATGGAAAAAAAAACTTTGTTTTGCTTTCATCAGGAGCAAAGAACACATTTACTTGTGATAGCAACTCAATTATGAAAGGATGGCTTTTAGTTGTAGGCTTCCAAACATAAATTTCTGATGAACGTGTTAGAGGCATTATGTGAAGCGTAAGCTGGATTTGGTTTACAGTCTCTACAGTTATCTAAGTCCTCAGGTTGTAAGTGCTGTCTTCGTTTGCTTGGTTGAATTTATGCTGATTGATCCATTTTAGTAAGAATTTTTGGTGTGACCATCTAAGGGATTGCATCTTTGATTTCTTATTTTCTTTAATACTGTTTTGTGCTGAATCTGGAAAAAAAAATTGTGACAATTGTTTTAAGTAAAGCAACAGATAAATAGTTTGAGTTGCTTGTGAAAAGGCATTGTTGATGTCAGCAAATAATTTAACTGTGGGTACACATCACTTCAAATACTGTGAATATTTCTGAATGTACTCTTCTAAGAATACTCTTAAGAATACTTAATGTTTTCCAATCACCCACAGGCAGTAAATATCAAAAATAGTGAGATTTGGTCATGTTAGACTTCTGGAATTTCTAGCTCATTCAAAGTAATTTAAAAAGATGTGCAAAAAAAGTTTGACATCAAATAAAGTTATCATTACACATGGGATATTGGGTACATAGTTGGAAAATAAAGGCATGTTATCTGAGCTTTGCTGAGATCTGGTTGTGAGATGCTGAATGGGAAATGCTTTGCAGTTAATGACAGTCTTGGCAGCCAGTATATGAAAAATACTACTTGTTCTCAGCAGTGTATGACCACAGGAGGATTTTTTTGACCATTACAATAAAATCTGAGTGCACAGAAGAAATAAACATGATAGAACTCGGCTGTACTCTGAAGTTTGGCTTTCTGATGGCTGTTTAAAGAACTGAAGTTCTGTACAAGTTCTGTTCTGCCTCTTAAGCACGGGGGGATGTTGCGGTTGTTTTGAGTTTGACTTGTGTGCCATGAGCATGGGGAGTGTAGGTGGACAGCAGAAGAGCTGGGTATTGCTCTTGGATCAGGTGATGGGGAAGCTGGTGAAGTGGCAGTTCTGGTGGCAGTTACATGTACGACGACTGTTTTTCTGTCTGGTAGTTTAGTCTTCAGCTGCCAGGTGTCCCTTAAGAGTCTGAATGGGAATGTGAACTGGAGATGTTTGCAGTTTCTAAAAGTCTAATAATGAACTTCTAACGAATGTGAGCTCATTGACTGAGTTAAATTTGAAGAAGCCTTCCCCTAAAGCATATGAAGACATCGTTCTGCATCCAGTATACTTTGCTTACTAACTTGTGATTGCTGCTTTATGGACTTGAAGGATGGATGTTTTAAGCAGTCACTGCTGTTGTCTGCAAAATGTGATACTTACTTCTGCACTAGCTGTAAACTGATGAGGATGTTTTTCTTCAGGAAATTCAACAAGAAACTGACATCCCTGAAAGAGAACTGGTCAGAGCCCTACAGTCCCTTGCGTGTGGCAAACCAACACAACGTGTTCTCACAAAAGAGCCCAAATCGAAAGAAATAGAAAATGGACATATATTTACAGTGAATGATCAGTTCACATCTAAACTACACAGAGTGAAGATTCAGACAGGTAAGTGGCTTTTTATATTATCTTGTCTTTAAAGTGTTTTGTCTTAGAATGTTATTTTGTAAGCTTGATGTCCATACAAGCAGAAGGAAACGAGTCGTATTTCTTTGTTGTTAATGCTTGTGGAGCCAGGAGTTGGATTCAATCCTAATAGGTCTTTTCCAACTTGAGGTATTCTATGGTAAATCTGTGATTCTAGTTGCATCCAAACAAGAATTTTAAAATGGAAGTGTGGAAGTGATAGTTAATAAGCCTTCTGCTTTTCAAAGTGTGTAGTTCCTTTTAAGATAAAAGGAAATGTTAAAGGAGAAATTTGAGTAGTGAAATTAAAAATATCAGGCTACTGACTGATTCATAAAAAAAGAAGATAGCCTCAGGTGTGTAAATTGTTGTACTGCTGTGAAATTGGGTAAAATCTTTATCACGTGATGTAGCAGAGTTTATTTCCATACAGCAGTTAGCTGCAGTGTCTTTAGGCCATGATTTGAGTGGAGTTAACAAATGAGAGCAACTGATTGGCGTGACACAGCTTTACCAGCTCAGTGAAGAGCTGGTTTATGTTACACATAAGTCATACTGGTATCTTTAGTTCAGAAAGCTCTCTGGAAATATTTTCTGACTTGTAGTACTGCTGTAGATGCTCTTCCAAGTGTTTTGCAAATTAACTTTGTAATTTTAGTTCATCAAAGATTTTCTGAAGCTATGGGTCTTGGTACATAAAATACACGCCATTAATGGCATTTTAGTTGTCTTTTCATGCAGTGCTGGAATTCACGTGCTGTTTGCTGTGCATAAGGCAGCTTTGGGCTTCTGTTTAGCCTGCGATGTCCTGGGATGTAAGTGTGTAAATCCAGGGCTGCATACCGTTATTATGTATATAATATGTAACAACATATTAGTATGTTGTTACACTGAGTATATCCTGCTGCTGGAGCAATAGCTGGGCTGTCCTCATATGCATGCACAGTGCTGTGCTCTCAGCATGCTCACCACATGTGGAGAATTTCTCTGGTGAGCAAGAGTGCAGCAACCAAATGAAGGGCCATGATCTCTCTGATCAGGGCCCAAAACATCACTGGCAGAATTGAACAGGAGTCTGTGACAACTGTCGGAATTTTGGTGTAGTTCTGCTTTATTGTTTCATAAATTTCTGGGGTAGGAGAATATAGTTTGGAGTTCAAGACGGTTTAAGAGCAAATTTGATACTTCTGGTTTTGTTTCTCTTACAAAGATGACTTTTAATGTAGACCTCTTTAGAACCAATAAATACTTGGGGCTTTTGAGTGAAGTATGGGAGGGAGACAGGTAGTGGGAGCAGTGTGGGAAAAGGGATTGTTTATGATGATACTGGGGTGAAAAGGTGAGAGAAGGGCAGGAACAAAGCATAAGTAGAAGAGAACAGAATACAAGGGTGAAACAGCTGAGATGAAAAGGATAGGGAAGGTTGGACTGTTTCATCTGGCTGATGAACTTCTTAAGTATTTAAATAGTTTATGAAGAAAGCTTTGAATCATTTGTCTGTTTTAATTAACGAATTTCTTTACTTTAAAGAGAAAAATATTTAATGGGAGCATAGGGGTGGTTGTGCCTGTAAGCAGGTCTGAGTACTGCTAAAATTTTAACATAGCAATAATTGAATAATAGATTGCTACCTTGTCAGTTGCTATCAAAATATGCCAGAAAATGCTAATATGTTCTTCTGGCTGCTTTTCATAAACAAACGAGTTTGAGGATGTCAAAACTTGGGAAAGCATTTGATTTCTGAACGAAATAAATAGCAAAGCTAAAGCTTACACAGTGTTAATTTTAACTTTGCTAAGATACTTTGTTCTCTTTCTTTTTTTTCCTTTCAGTTGCTGCCAAACAAGGAGAATCTGATCCAGAAAGGAAAGAAACAAGGCAGAAAGTAGACGATGACAGAAAGCATGAGATAGAAGCTGCTATAGTTCGGATAATGAAATCTAGAAAGAAGATGCAACACAATGTGCTAGTAGCAGAGGTATGTTTGTACATAGTTTTAACATGGACTTCAGAATTGCTTTTGTTTTTTCCATTTGATTCCATTTGAAGTTACACAAGTCTAACATGGTTTTGGAGGGTTTTTGACAGATTGTGACTAATCCATTCTGTTTTTCCCATTTATCTAAAGACACCTAAATCCATACCCTGTACTCATGTGCATCTGATTTTCCTTCCTCCCTTTACTGCTATTAATATGTCATCATATTCCTTAAGTACCAATTGGCAATGAAAACCACTGTGCTTAGCATGACTTATTTTCTGTTTTTGTCTTGTTGCTAACTGTTGGGTCCAAGATTGAAAGTTTCAAGGTCTGCAGAGAAAGAGTGAGAGTGCTCACTGAGTTCTGACACCTTTGCAAATGGGAGGTGCTTTCCACTCTCGCACTCTTCCATGGTTGTGAAATTGAGTGTCTCCAGGTTGACCATTCCTCTCTCAAAATTGAGCAGGCAGCCGAAGGGAAAAAATGATGGGAGAGTGAAGATGGATTGTTGTTTCATGGTTGTAGCCAGCCCCGCCTCTGTGCAACTTTCTGATTATTTTGATCAGTTAAGATAATTAATGATCTTGCTCGACCTGTAATTTTATGTTATTGTTTTTAACGTTATGTTTTAGGTAACTCAGCAGCTGAAGGCCCGATTCTTACCAAGTCCAGTTGTTATTAAAAAACGTATTGAAGGACTTATTGAGAGAGAATATTTGGCACGAACACCTGAGGATCGCAAAGTATACACTTACGTAGCATAAAATGCGTTCAGAAAATTGATTTACTCTTGGACTGTACTCTTCGCATGAACTGGGAAGTTCTTTTAAATCATTAATATTAAGACGACCATCTCTTCTATTAAATTACAATACATGTTCTAGACCATTCAGATCAAGCCTTTTACTCCTTTTGAGAGTTTTCAACATGAATTGATTGAGCTTCAGGCTTTTCAACGTTATCCCTGTAGAGATCATCCTTACAATTCTTTGGGAAAATGTGAATGTGCCGCGTTTGTTTTCAATACTGTATGAAAACAGAAAAATAAAAACAAATTTAGAAAATACAGCTCATTAAAAAAATAAAATTGTTGGAATTTCATTTCCCCAGATCTTCAGTGTTGATGTAAACGTGTTTCTGTAGTGTTGCTTAGCACTTCGCGCATTGTATAAGTTGGGTTAAAAGAACAACCACAACTGGTAAGACAGAATTCCCAGTTATAGTGCTCTGCTTCAAATGTTTCTTTAACTAGCCATGTTTAATTTAAATATTTGGTAACCTTTTGGAGACCCGAGAATACGACTTGAGCATGTTTCACTCTTCCAGCTGCACTCATTGTTTGAACAACATGAATCAGCAACTACTGGGGGCTCAGAAAAGGCCATGATAATTTTGACTTTCCCTTCTGTAATATGAGTCCTTCTAAATTATCTCTAGATTTGTTCTGGTTTCTTCATAGGAAAAAGGAAAAGATATTAGTGTGTATAAACTGTATAATAATTTTTGCTGTTGTACTCACTGCTGATGGTGGATTGTACAGGGCGATGTTTTTATTTCACTAAATGTAGACAAAATTTTAAAATAAATGGATCTAGTGTACACAAACAATTCAAGTGTGTTAGAGTACAGGGATGGCAATATTTGAAACTAAATACTGTCCTCTGGGGAAGCATACTGGGATTATATTTTGTCAGTTAATACTGTAGATGGATCTGTAGCCCCAGGGTTTCCCATCGTAAGTACGTATTTGAGGAGATTAAAGTGAAGCCAGTGTGCACTATTTGCTTTTAAAAATGCATTTTAATCATGCAATAAAAAATGTTACTATAATGAAACTTTCAGTTCTTAAACCAAAGCTTTTATCCTTTTTGTCAGCATGCTGCAAAAATAGATTTAAAATTGCAGTTCAGTGGCACTGTTATTCTCATAGAATTTGTTTGAAGCGTGCATTGTACTGCAGAGTTTTTATTAAACTGTTTTTCTGACATTGCAATGCAGATTGCATACCACGCAGTTTTTCTGCTGTAAATATTGGTTTTAATTTGATGCTGGTTTTGTTTTGGTTCACGTCGTTTTCATCCGTAGATACAGAAACATACTGGGGATGGACTTCCCAAAATGTGGAGCTGGAGGAAGCGAAAAGGAAGTTGGTTGTAGAGCACTACGGTACTGCCAGATTATTTCTTCATTAGTGATATCAAGCAAATGCACTGTTGTGTAACGTTAGCAATTCACCTGAAGTGTATTGCTGATAGCGTGCCTCCAGTTTCACCCCTCTCTACAGCCTGTTAAGATGAAAAGCCTGGCTGTTGTTCAGTGGTGGGTTGCTTCTATGGAGGAGGCCTGGGATTGGGATGGTTTCAGCACGATTTATTCTGAGGCCTGTTTTGTCTTTTTTATAAAGGCTTTATTGAAGTTTACTAAATAAAAATAAGACTTTTCCCTAACTCATGATTTACTTTCAATTAAGTAGAAGGAAGGTAACCAACGAGGAGCTTAACCTGCTGCTGTTCATGAAGAATCCAGCTATGTCATCAGATTTTCCAAAATGAATTTGGGGGCAATTATTAAAATGTCTGTATGTCTATTTTCTAGTGACATTAGAAAACTAATAATTGGTTAGCCACTCTAGTTTTGGGTTGTGTCTTAAGGTCTTCCTAAAATTGTAACTAGTTCTTCCATGCGTTGGTATGAAGGCTTTCTTTTCTGTGTATCTTAGTCCTTAATAGCATTCATGTGACAGTTTTGTTTTAATGCTTTCCTTTGTGCTTTTCAGGAAGGAGTGAGTTCATAGCCTTTTCCACTGTGGTTTAGAGATACTAACATTGCTATCCATGACATTTGGACTTTGTGCTGCAGTTACAATTTTGCTGTGCATCAGCTGAAGCTTTCTGCCTGTGATTGCTTTGCTCTTGGCAAGTGTGAAGTTAGATGTCACAAGCCTGAATGTTAGATGAACAGCTGTCTAGCTATGTTTAAGGGGTGGATGGGTCTGATTTTTTTATCTTAATTTTTGGCCAGCTTTGCACACTAGAGTTGCTGAAGGAATAACAGATGGTGATAGCTATTTCAGTAACAAATACCAGAATATCATTTCCATTTCAAGTTTAATAGAATTTTGGAGACACTAAATGTTCAGGAAGGGACTGCTACTGAAGTCACCTTTTAGAAATGTCTTTACCATTACAATCAGATCACAGTTCCAAGGAGTTCAAGATGGAAATGTGAAAACTTTGATCAGATGCATCTGAACACGGTATCACTGTGACTCTGCTTAAGGTGAGTTTGATGCCTATGCCTTTGCATTGTTTGTGTACATTAAAGAATCATATGATTCTAGGATTAGTGAGATTTCTTTTAGATTCCATAGTAGAATTCTGCTGTTCCTTACCTGATTTTACTTTTGGTCTTTCTTAGTTCGCCTTTAAACTTGTAACTTAGTTAAAAGCTCATTAATAGGTTTGCATGATCACATTTATGAGGGTAATTAGTTGTAAGTTTTCTTTCCTTGAGTTAATGTACATGTAAATGCTGTAACAACCTATTAACGTGTAGTTTTAATTTTCAAAAGTTTTAAAATGAAAAGTAGACTTCAAGTTTTATACATATTGGAAGGTACATATACACAAGTTCATTTTAAAGAGTTGAGATTATACTCATGTACCATTGTAACAACAAAAGCACTGAATGAAGTATTTTGGATGACTGAAATCTTTTTATTCACATGTCATAAGCAGCTAGCATGGTACCTGGTAGGTGGTATGTATACAGTCATGTAGCCTGTTAAGATGTGTGGTTTGGGTGATGAGTTTGCACAGAGGGTTTCTTGTCAAAAGCAACAGAAAATGGGACTCCTTGTGAGCAGTCTGTTGCCTGTCCAAGACTGTCCAGAACCTTCCCAGCTTGTTCTGCAGCTCCTTGACTCTTATTTATCACAGTGGTTAAAGGTGAGGTGGGCTCTGAGCATTAGCTTCCAGTTCTTAGAAACAATTCAGGGTTAGGAGGAGGATTTGCCAGCCCAGAGCTAGGCTCGAAGTAGCATGTGAGGTGTTGTTTTTTCTGTATGAAAGTTTTCTGTTAGTGATTCTGGTGTCTCAGTAAATGAGATAATCAGTGTGATCAGTCCGAAACACGTGTTTAAGCTCCTTTTCTGGGATGTGAAAAGGAAGAGCAAGGGAGAGATGAGGTTTTAACAAGGAACTGACAAATAATATATAAAAAAAAACTGAGAACACTGTTCCAAATGGTAGGATATAGCTTGTCGTTTTCAAGTCACTGATTCTGCATTTAAAGCCTTTTGTTAGCTGCAATAAGAATTGTGCTATAAAAGTGCAGTGTAGATGTGGTCTTATCCAGGACAGTTATGCTGTCTGTCCAAGTGGGCTGTTAGCATTATTGTTCCTTGGTTGGTCGGTTTGCTTTTTTAACCTTTATTTTAATCTTGGTTATTTATGAATTTCATTAGGTTGGTATCTGGAGCCTCAGCTGTGATCACTTTGTATTTATGCTATGAAAGACACAGCGCTGGGTCTTGCTTTAAGTAGCCTGCCATTGTATTTACATCTAACAAATTCCTCAAACTTTGAAATGAAGCCAAGTTTTTAAGGGACAGCATTTTACTAAAATGTCAAGAGAAAAAAAGGAATAGAGAGATTAGTGAGGTCTCAGCTGTGCTGGAAATGTATCTGTTGAAAAAGGCTGCAACCTTTGCTTTCTGCTGTAACAAATACAAAACTTGATTCAGCATGGTAAGCTCTTCAGAGCAAAGCAGTGGCTGTGGGTCCTTTGCCTGCATTTCCAAATGCACGCCTCTGATGCCTGCCATCCCTCTGCTGGAGGACCTGATACCCGCACACCACAGGCTAAACTGCTGAAGAGGACACCTGGCATCACAGCGGGTGAGTGTGAACATGGAGATACGTCTGACTTTGCCCAGGTGAGCTTCTATGAGTCCAGAGAGAAATCCTGTCTCCTGGCGACTCGTTCGTCAGCACCCAGTGCGGTGTGGTCTCTGCTCATGTCTGCTGCTGGCCTTGCGAGGGCTTCTCTTGAGTCACCTTCAGCCGTGCTGAATGTAAGCTCCTTACATAACTCGCCAGATCCTATGTGTCTGTGCATTGCTGAGGCTGCCTGTTCCCCCTCTGCCACAGGAGGAAGCTCAGGAAACTCTTTTTTGTTTGATCTCTTGTGCACCTTGAAAGCCTGGCACTGCCTTGCTGAAGGCTGAGCCTTGAGTTGCTGTGTCCCACTGACAGGAGGAGCTGTGGCCCTGCCGGCCTTCCCCTTCCTGCTCTGGTTATGGCTCCATTTTTGTCCTGTTTTCTGCTTGGATTCTGATTTGCTGTGTGTGATGAGCTAGTAGAGATCTTCTCTACTAGCTCGTTAAAAAGGAGAATTAAGGATTACTTGGGAGAGAAGTCCCCTTTTGTAAGTGCATAGGTCAGACTGCTTTCCTCCTCTGGCCGCTGGGGTTTTACTTTCCTCAGAAATAATGAATTTGGGGGCACAGCACTTGGGGCAGGAGGCAGACTGCACAGCTTATTGTGCTCAGGTAGGGCCCTACTTCTGCTTTTTGTCTTGGTGCTGCTGTCGATAACTGTCATTGGCCTCAGTGTAGGAAGAAATTGAAATTGGCAGGAAAAAAAAAAATCTCTTAAAAGCTAATGAGCCCAAGACAGTGCCTGGATTTAATGAGGCCTGCTCCTGAGATGCTGAAGTAATTCAGTCGCCCTCCTGGAAGTTAATTACCTACAGTGTGCAATGCCTGAAACCTTGCCATGTTGCTTCGTTACGGAAGTTACAATGAACTTATTAAATCCTGTGGTGCGTCATCAGTCCTTGGGTGTCAGCTGGAGTGAAGGGCTCAGCACCTCAGAGGGCTGGGAGCAATCAAAGAGCTCATTATGGAAAGGAGTTACAGTTCTGCTGTGCCCTTGCACCATAGGACTTGAAACATATCACAGACTGATTCTCACACAATACAGTACTTGTTGGCTGTTCGCATTGGGCATCTATTTATGCTGGGCCTACTGATGCTTGTGCTGGCGGTCAGTACGTCTCTCACATGCTTTTACCAGGTCAGCTCTCCACAGCACGCTGTACCCTGTACCGTGCTGCCTGTCGCTGCCATGTGCGGATGGTGTTCTGGGGCGTTCTGTGAGTGCAGGCTGATTTTTCACATAGGGCTGAGCTGCTATTTTCCTAATCTCTTACAGCAATCTTTCTTGGCATGCTGGGTAGGTCACAGTGAATGATGTGCTTTTCCGCTTGGCAGCCAGACTGGAAAGCTGGGGGAAGGGGAAGCAGAGAGAAAGGCAGGAGCTGCTCACATTCAGGGCTAGTTCAGACTTCAGTCTGTGAAGGAGAGATTGCCAGTGCCCTTCTGTGGTCTCTGTGGGGCCACCTGGAAACCAGATTGGCTCCCACCAGCTGTGCTGGGAGCTGGAGAGGGACTTGCTGTCTGCAGCATTCCTGAGCTGCCCTCATCCCAGCTCACAGCCCTCACTCTGTGGCTGCCCTGTGAGCATTCATATTACAGGCGCTACCATTTTCCCCCTGCACTGCTGCTGCCCTGCAGAACAGCCAGGCCAATGTGATACGAGCAGGGAAATGGGGGTGAAAGAGCAGTGCAAGTCTGGTGATTGATGGGACTGCATTGGGCACACAGTGCTAGGAAATGCCTGGGGAAGCAAGCAGCTTGCCCTGCAGCAGATTGGGATCCCACCACGTGAGCACAGAGGTAGAGCTGGTGATGTCCATCCCATCATTCCTGCTCTCCATAGTTTCCTGCCCTGTCACCTCGCAGTGTCCCCACAAGGTAACCGCAGGGCTGGTGCCACCTGGCCACACAGGTGTCCCTGCCTGCACTGCCATGGACAGTGATCACCTTGCTGCCCACTCCCAGCTCAGTCCTGATGAGCTCTGACATTTGGTTTTCCTTGCACAAGCAGAATTCCCATTTTTTTCACCCGCAGGAAGGCAGATGACTGCCTGCCTCTTTGTATTCTTTGCTGCAGCAGAGTTGATGAATCACTTCCTTTTTTTATATTTTAGTAATACTCTGTGTTGTTCAGTGCTCATTTACAGCATTTAATGTTTTGAACACTCATAGCCCTCACTCTTCCTGTGATTGTCCAGCGGTTGGATATTTTTGTCTCTGTCCCAACAGTTACTACTTGTTGGAAGTGCTGCAGGTAGCTTTGTCTGTGTCAGTACAAGCTGAACTTTTAAGTTCTTACTGTACTTTGGTCTCATGACTATATTTCTATAACTGAGTGCGATCTTTAAATAAAAGAAATGTGAAGCACAGATCCTTGTACCATTAGACCCTGGAGATTTTCTTCAGGTACACATAAAGCTAGGGCTGTAATTAATTTCCAAAAAAAAGGGGGGGGGGGCTGAGGGGAAAAGTCCAAGTTCAGCATTCTAAATAGCAGACCCTTCCACACACTGGGATTTCTGCACAGCAAGTTGCTGCCCCACGAGGTGCACAGCCCTGAGCCTGGGATTCTCCTGCAGTGCCTGGAGCCAATTCATATGGGCCTTCATTGTTATCTCTCCCGTTCACACGGGTTTTTTTTCCCTTTGTTAGTCTGCTTTCCTTCCTTGTTTTTAAGTAATAGCTTATCTGTGTGCCCCAGAAGGGTGTGACTCGGGGAGATCAGCAAGCTGAAGTGCAGGAACACACGCTGAGGTTTTCACACAGGCAAGAATCAGGAGATGTATGCCTGTGGGAGAGTGACTGCACTCCTGCTTCAGCCCTCCACCACCCTGCTCCAGGTGGGACAGAGCCACTGCAGCACAGCAGTGCTTCAACACCTCGGCTGTGTGCACCCGGTGACCAGATCTGGGTCATGCTGCTGGGTCAGATTTGCATCTGCATCTGAGCTCTGATGTGACGTGAGCAAACTGGGGCTGGTCCTGTCGCGCCATGGCACACTTTCCAGCCTCATGCACATGTGTGCAATCCTGTCACCTCACTGGGTTGTTGCAAAGCTTCTGAGTGATCGTGTTCTTTCTCTGCCTCAGTGCAGTGCCTGCATTGCTGCCACTCCAAACACTGCAGGAGGAAACTCCTATTTTTGCTTTGGTTTTGTTTGTTGAAGAGAAGCTTTGTGATGGGTGACAGAGCAGAGCCTCTGATGACTGTGCATCTTCTCACCAACTCAGGATACTCGGCGTTTCTGCAGCAAGCTCTGGATCGGCTCATGGAGTGGATCTGCCCAGATGTTCGACTTTTCTTTGTGTCTGAGCGAGTTGCTCCACTGAAATACTATGAGAGGTACCAAAAGAGAAACTGCAGCTTTCCTGGGATATCTGTCTTCCTTTTTCTGCAGGAGGACCTGGGAGAAGAGCGGATTCTCCAGGTTCAGGATCTCCTCCAGCACCCACCCTGGCACTACCAGCGTGTCCCGACCTGGGCACGAAGTCATCCCCACACGCCAGCTCCCCAGGACTTCTATGGCCTGGATGACCAGATGCCTGTGTGGGGCATCCGGCGGGTGGGCTGCAGCCCCGAAATCCTGCGTGTGACCCTCTACTGCAGCTTTGATAACTATGATGATGCAGTAGGGCTGTATGAGATGATCCTACGGAAAGAAGCAACCATCCGGAAAAGCAATTTCTGTGTCTTCGTGCTATATGCCACTAAAACTATTGCTGTCCAGCTCTGCCTGAAGCAGCTGCCCATTGGGATGGCTGCTGAGCCTAAGGAGTCATCACTTTTGCAGTTCAAGGTGCAAGAAATGGGGCAGCTGGTGCCTCTCCTGCCCAATCCATGCATTCCTATCAGCAGAACCAGGTGGCAAACACAAGACTATGAAGGAAATAAAATTCTGCTTCAGGTATGTGTGTGCATGGTGCTTTGCAGACAAGATGCCTTTTTCTTTTCTTTTTTTTTTTTTTTTTTATTCCAGCAAAGAGCAGGACTGATTCAAAATGGAAATCAAGGCTTTGCTTGTCCATATTTTGTTTTTAATTCATGAACTCAGCAATCACCTTCCAGTGCTATGATGTCATTGATAAATGTGAGCACAGATCCCTAGAATGCTTCCATATTGCTAATGCCTGAAGTAGAAAGTATTAGTACTTTTTTTGAGCCACTGAATTCGCCTTTTCCCTTTCCTGCCTAAATCAGATGATAGTAGCAGCCTGTTCTTTCTGATGTGACCTTATAAATGCTTCTGAAAGCCGAGTTTTAGCACTGTACCATCCCAAACCAGGTGTTTTGCAAGTACAGAGCTGATGCAACATCACTCACAGTTTTGTAATTGCTGTTGGGTAAAAGGGCTAAACAAATGCCATGGGAAAGTCATCTCCTTTCTGCTGTGGTGCGCAGCCCTGAGAGTGTGTGAGCACCAATCAAACTGGACAAAGACAGTGCCTTGGAGTTGGTGCTCACTGTGCTATACACGGAGCAGAGGGAAGTTCAGTTGTGTGCTCTTTGCTTTGTAACAACTCCTCCCACCTCTGGCCTCTTGGGTTGTTATTTAGATATTTTTATTTGGATATTTACATTATTTAAACATGTCCTGTTTTCTTTATTTCCCTTTCTTGGTGAGATCATTATTACAAATCAGCCTGCCTATTCTGTTTGGCCTACTTTTGTGCTGCTCTGCCTGCACACCTCTCTCCGGGACAGCCTCAGCATGTGCCTCCCACCAGTTCAGTGTCACCCATGGACCTGTTCAGGGATGGCTGGAGTCCTGAGTGCTTTCAGTGGCTCCAAGTGCCTCCCATCGCAGGGGGCTCAGAGTGCTGTTGCCTGACTAAAGCTAGCACTGTGTTTTAAGGGAGTTCTCTCTACCTTTCCTCAACAGGTGCAGAACAGCTCCAAACAGAATGAAACAAACACTGGTCTTCCCAACCGGCGCAGTGCTGTCGGTGTTGAAGGACTGCCGCGCAGCCCCAGCACAGCTCCTCTCCCCATTGCTCTGCGCAGCGCTGAGCAGGGAGGCCAGCAGGCCTGGGCCTCGAGGGGCAGAGTGACATCCAGGCCAGGCCAGGCCCTCCTCGGCTCTTCCTGGGGTGCTGCAGTGCCCTCCCACCACGTGCTCACAAGCAGCAGGCAGCAGGAGGGCTGGCCGTGCCGGCCAGCAGCAGAAACCAATGTGGACACGGGGCTGGCTGTGGGCAGAACTGTGGGCTGTCGCTGCTCGCTGCAGCACGGCCTTCTGCAGCCATGGGTGCTGGGCACGGCCTGCACTGCCCCGCACTGTGCGCAGCTGCCATCTTCTGTGGCCAACAGGAGGAAAGGAGCGGGGCACAGGGCTCTGGGCTCCCACGTGCAAACATGGAGAGCCAGCCCTGGAACCAGGCCCGAGGAGGAAGAGGAGGAGTTCTTCATATGACTGGAAACAAGTGCGAGGCAGGCTCCTCCTTTCTCAGTCATACTGACATGACTTTGTCTGGAAGCACAGTGGCCGGGCTGTGTTAGGCTGTGCGCAGGGCGATGGAAACCTCAACTGGGTCTGAAACAACAGAAGATGAAAGGCTGCGGGCTCAGAGGGACTGCTGAAGGGCAAGCAGGGCAGGAGAAATGGAGCCATGCAGGAGCAAGGATGCTGAAATGATATGTGCTGCTGCTTGTGGGGTGCATGCAGTGTGTGACTGCTTTCTGCTTACTTCACTGGACACACAAACTTATACCCACTTTTCCTATAATCTATAAAGGCAGTGCCAGAGAGAGGTTTGGTGAGCTGGGAGGGCAGTGCAGCAAAGCAGAGCACCTGTGCTGCGGGGCTGAGGAGAACAGCTGTGAAAGCCTGGGGGCACCAGCCTGGCTGTGGGTGTGGAGGGGCAGTGATGAATGGGGAGTGGGATTCCTGGGACAAGTGGCTTTAAACAGGCCTTTCAGTATGACCAACGTGTGGAGGGATGGGAGCCCTGCTCTGAGTGTGGGCGCAGGGCTCTGTGGGGCCAGCACCACAGCACTGGCAGGCACTACAAAATGCCATCCCTGGCTCATGCTGCTGCAGTCACTGGCTGTGCCAGGGCCCTGGCCTCCTGCTGAGGGAGCAGCTGGTGAGCTTGGCTCCTCTGGGAAGGCAGTCCTGAGTGCACTCCTCTGTCCTGAATTTGGTGTCAAATCGCCAGTTGGTGTCTCTACAGCCTCAGGGTCCGTGGAGACGTGGCACTGAGGGGCACGGTGGGGATGGACTGCCAATTGGACTAGATGATCTTAGAAGTCTTTTCCAAACTTAATGATTCTGAGAACGCGGCAGCTGCTGTCTGCGTGCTCCTGGTGCGGCTGCCCAGTGCTCCTGCACCCAGAGCATCGCATGTCCTTGTCCCGTGGCGGCGACCCGGGCACAGCCGGACCTCGAAGCGGCTGGGCGGCTCAGGAGCCCCCCGCTGAAGCCCGCGGCGGGGGGGCAGCAGCAGCAGCAGCAGCAGCAGCGCGGCGGTGCGGGGCGGCAGCTCCTCCTGGTGCCCGCCCGCGGCCCTGCAGCGCTGCCCGCCGGACCCCTCCCGCCGTAGTGGGGGCTGCTGTCCTCGCCTCCGTCCCCGCTGGAGCCGCGCGCTACACGGCAATAAAAGAGGTGATAATGACAAACGGAGCCGGTCTGTTCCTCATTCGTTCGTTCACCCAGATGACAAGCTATCTCGGCAGTTGAGATCTGTCATGTAAGTGACGGGGAAGGCAGAGACCTTCCGAACGCGTCTCACTGGTTAGATGGCAGCCTCGAGTGCTGATGTGCTGTAACTTCGTATGCATTTGTTACGTGGTAGTGCTGAGTGTACGGAAAGTTTAAGACGAGGCACCAACGTGATGGTTAGAGATTTTATTCAAAAAAGTGCCTAGCTAGACCAACTTTTCTGTTGGTGCAGAAAAAAAAAAAAAAGTAAATCATTAGTTTTAACTGGGAGTAATTTAACTCCAAAAGTGAAAACCTTAACTTCTCCCTTTTTGTCTGTAGCCAAGGAGCAGCAGGTCGCCCTCAGGCTGTCGGGGACTGATTCCATGCATGCTGGTGGGGATGAGGCCGTGCACTGTGTGGGAGTGCTGTTCTCTAATGATGAAGAACGGAAGCTCCTGCTGGAAGCCAAGCAATGTGAAGGAGCTGCCTGGTAAGGGGAAGCAGCTGCTGGCAGGGCCCTATGGCACACTCTGGATGGGACACACATCCTTTCCCTGTGCTGTGAGAGCCAGTGTTTGGCCCTTCCTGGTAGATTTGCCCTCTGCTTGCACTTCAGGCCCATCCCAGCTCTCTGTCTCTCCCTGCAGCCAAGGGCACGAGGTATCTGGGCACAGGGATGGCACAGGAGCGTGTATGCCTCGTCTGGTACTGAGCTTCCCAGCCTTAAGGTGCTCCTGAAGAGGACAGATGTGCAGGAAGGACTCAAAAGGAGTACGATGCACTTTCATTCTACAGTCTCAGTATTAAGAGGTTTATCCTCACACTGGCTGTCAGTGCTTTGCAGCTCTCATCAGCCACATATGTGGCAGGCTCCCTGCAGTGCTACCAGGCTCCCTAAGCATTACACAGGAGCTTTGCTTTTGGTCAGTTAAGCTTGATGCCCTGTGTTTTTAGTGCCTCTTTGAAATGAAGTGTAGGAGGTCTTTACTTCCCCCCATATACAACTATTCCAACAGAATAACAAAACACTCATGTAGCAAAGCTATTTTTTTCCACTGCCATGAGGTCAGTTTCAGTATGTGTGCAGAATGCACCTGATCAGCCCAGGACTGAGAGCTCAGTTGCACTATGTGTTGGAGGAGAGGCAGGGCTCACAGCTGGGTTGGGTGCTGAGCAGGAAGGGTTGGTGCATTGGGCAGTGGTCAGCATGGGGCTGGGCACCCAGCAGGAGGCAGCGGCGCCTTCGGTGACCTTCACTCCCTCCTCCAACACACTGCTTCCTCCGCCAAACCTGCATTGCAGTTTGCTGTGCTGCTCTTTTTGATGTTTAATTCTGATAATTTGAAGGGGGCTTTGAGAGGGCTCCATCTCCCACAGAGCACTGGCATTAATATTCCGGTGCAGAATCTCAGTTCTGCTGATTGCAGGCAAGGGCAGATCCGATTTCTATTAGTGTGAATTAATATTCCTGAAGAGTCTCCAAATCTTTCTTCTCCCCTGCCGCCCTCCCCAGGCACTGGCAGCCCGACTGTGCTGGGAGGTGATTAGATTTGTAAATGCGTTCCTGCAGGCACTTGGTGACACTGGGAGTTGTCTCATCTTGCTTGTGCAGCTGAAATGGTGACAGCCCCACTTCCCTAATTGGAATCGTCTCGAATCTCATCTTGGCATCGAAGTGTTGTGCTGAGCAGGCAGGAGCAGGTTGGCTCAGCTGTTGCAGTTGGTACCAGGCAGATGCTTGTCTCCCAGACCTGGAGGTGGGCCCAGATGGGTCCCAACAAGTGACAGGGGCAGGAATGAGCCCTGCTCAGCAGCATTCTCTGCCGAATGGCAGAGGTAGTGGGGCAACCCAGAGGGGCAGTTCTGAGAGCTGGGGTGCCCGATGCAGCTATAGAGTCCCCAGGCTCCTCCACACTTACTGTGCTAAAAACTGGAGTGAACATATATCAGAGTTAAAGCTGCCAGGCCATGATAACTGTTATCCTTGCTTTCTCCTTGCGCTTGTCTCCTGCCTTCCTCAGCTACACTATGCAGAACATGGGCTACGTGCCTCCTGGCCATGGCTAGAGAGGGTCTGAGCCATCTTGTTCCCTTGTTACTCTTTGGATGCATGCTTGGAGTGGAAGGGTGGTTTATGTTTTTGCTTTTGATTTACCAGAATTGGCTTAAAACACCCCCGGGATTCTCAGTTCAAACAAACAAAGGAGATTACGCTCAAGGAACCTCCCAGGATGATACAAGCAATGTGATACCAGTGGGCACAAAGGGAGCGTGTTTTAGCCAACCCGGAAGCTGGAAGCTTTGTTTTCAGTCTGGCAGTGGGTACAAACAAGCAGATTTTGGTTGCGTTCCTCTTCCTCCCACATTTGTTGGTCATGTTAGGTTGACACATCTTCAAAGAGTAACCACATGTATTAGTAATGGCACAAAGAGCTGCTTCCTTCAGACCAGGCTTTGGGGAAAACCCATAATGGTCTCTGAGATGGGGGAGGGAGGAAGTAAATGAGCGTTAGGAAACCTTGTGTTGTGGGTTGAACACGGAATTTCTCCGTGTCTATACCTTCTTTCCCAGGGCTTCCCAACATACTGAGTACACTGTACTTTCCCAGAGAAAGGTGGCAGCTGGAAGGCGGCCAGCAGCTTGCTGGGACCACCAGAAATGTTGCAGTGGGTTAGATGCAGAGAGCCAGTGCCTGGGCCCTGCTGAAGGGACTCTGGCCAGCAGCTGGTGTCACCCACAGGCCTGTGGTGTCATGCAGAGAGGGCATTGAGCTCCCTCCTAGCCTGTATCAGTTCCCCAAAGCCCCTGCTCTGGTTTTAACCAGGCTGAGGGTTTTTCTGGGATGGGGGTAGAAATTAGTTGACAATTTTGCTGTGGTTTTTCATCTTGATTTAATTCAGAACTACTGGGCTTTGTGGAGGGAATAGCTGATTGCAGGAATGCATCATACTGATGCTTACCAGATACTTTTTTAGATGGGAAAATCTTTCTGTGTCACGAGAAAGTTTGCAAATGTTAGTGTTCTTGTAAATCAGAGTGAAACCAGATTTCAAGAGGTTTCAGTTTCTCCCAAATGTTGGGTTTTGGCCACCTCCAGCCCTCTGGCAGCTGGCTAGGGCTGCTGAGTGACCTCCCACCACGGCACACGGCACAAGGTGTTGAAAAACCTGAGGCAAGATGTGGTACCAAGCCAAGTACTTTATCTTGAGGAAGAGCAAAGCTTTTTTTTTCTTGTAGCCTTATTTAGTTTTTATATTATGTCTTAGTGGAGACTTTTCTTTCCAATTCATTGTTTAAGCCCGGTAACAACCACTGTTGTGTTTGCAATATTTATGTGATGACAGCCTGAGTGCCTCCCTAGCATTTTGTTTCTTCCTGTGCCAGAGTGCTGGCTTAGTCCGCATCCAGCAGCACCTAGGGCTTGCTCTCCCATGCTCTGCTCAGCACATCCCACCTTGCACTATGCTTGCAAAGATGTGAATGGAGAAGGACTGGTAAAACACATTTTTCCATCTTGCAGATTGCACTTGCGCTGCTTATCTGGCTGCTTGATCCATGAGAATGTGTCTCAGAGCATCTGGAAGCGTGTGGATAGCTTCCATCCCCTCCCAAGAGACTCGAGGGTCCTGGCTGCATGCAGGAGGACGGGAGATTTGGAGCCGTGGCCGCTCCGCATGGCAACATGCCTGTGAGGTTTGCTGTGCTTGGATAGAGCAGAACTGTGCAAAAACAGAACAAGATGGGATTTTTCCAGGTTTACTTTGAGCTTTAACTTGTTCCAAGTATAACATTGAGATCTTACCACTTCTTTTGTTTTCCGTGCTCTGCTGTGCTATGTGCAGCAGCAGTCACAAGTGTCAGACCATCATCAAAGCCTAGTTTTGAGTTGTGTGTGTGAAGGAAGCTACGGTGACAATGAAAACGCTCGCAGGGTATTGCCATGCCAAGGCTGTGTGCAGGTTTGCCACCACTTCTCCCCTTGCACACACTGCAGTGATCTTGGAGCCCAGTGGGTGATGGTGGGAGAAGTGCCACTAGTGGCAGCCATGGTGCATGGGGCCAGTGGGATTCATGTCTGTATTTCTCTGTTGCTGTTCTGGGTGGAACTTGTGTGAATAAACCTATTGTGGTTTTAAGTTAACATGCAGTTATAGAAGGAAGATTATTTGAGTGTTTGCTCTGTGTGTTTCTCCTTTGTCTTTTGTCTTGCTTGACTGATACACAGCAATGCTCTCTGGCAACCTCAACTACCTGTCTACTCTCATTAGCACTCCAGCATGTGTTTTTACTTTATGGAGGGCTGCACGGTGTTGCGGACGGTAATGGGAAAAGAGGTGGTGCGAGCATGTGGCAACCATTCTAACATTGACAGCATCTATGCATTTTTAAAAAGCCAGAGTTGTCACACATTTTGTTCTGAAAGCCATTTGTCTGTAATCTTCAACTACAGTAATAAGCATCATCATCATCCTGCTAGTGCAGAGGATGTGTGGGAGAAACAGGCCGCCTTGAAAATCTCCTCCGAGCCCGTGCCAAGCCTGAAGCAATCTTTTTTTCGTGACGGAAGGCCGTTCTCAGGGCGGTGGGTAGCAGCCCAGCTGCGGCGTGTCAGCGCTGAGCGCTACGTCCCGCTCTGGAGCAGCATGGCTCCGCTGCATCCTTTCGTCAAGCGTGTAGGAGGCGGCGTG